CACACATATATATATATATATATATATATATATATATATATATATATATATATATATATATATATATATACTGGACTCGACAATAAGGACTGCCCGATGGCCAGGGGCCAGCGTGCGAGACACTCGGGCCAGTGTACAGAATGTTACTGGCCTGATTGGGCCAGTGCTGCCTTTTTGCCTGCCAGATCGAGCCAGAGCTGCGTGCTGCGACTGTCTGTCAATTGTGTGCAAATACAATCTTACGGTGCTTTCACACATAGACGTTTGTTTCGGAATCTGTCTCGTTTCCCCCGTTAGTGCGTTTTTTTTTTTTGGCATATATCCAGCAGTTGCGCTCTCATCAGCGCCAAATCAATCAGTCCAAGATCGCCTGAATGAGACGCGGTCTCTGTCCTATTGAGCGGATCGATTGTAGCGAGAAAACAAAACAATGCAATGAACTAACGACCCAGGCTATATCACAGTGTATTATGATCGTGTAATAACCATATATACGACTATATGAAGAGAGCAAGATGAGTAGTGCGAGATTTATTCTTACCGGTAAATGCGAAAGTGAAAGCATGCTGAAATATTACCGAGAGCTGTTTATCCAGCCTGATTTCGGTTTATCCGTCAGGAAAATTGACCGAAGTTAATATCTGATCATTTTTTCCATGTTTTAATCTTGCAATATGTTGGGTTAGGCCTGTTGTTTTGTTCATTTCCGCACTGACAGCTCGAAAGAAAATCAACATTGATCTGCTTCGCGATCTGATGCAGTCTCGGTTCATCTGCTATGTCTCTTTATAATTTAAGCCTAAAATACAGAATTATAGTCAACGTTTCTTTAATAGATTGATTAATTCAATAGATAAATATCTACAAAACCTGACAATTGAAATGAGGCTCTGTATGAGAAAGTCTGACCTCGATTTATATTCGGTGACGATGTCTGTGGGTTGTTAAAATTAAAGTGCACATTTTCAATTATAAAATATTCTATATACACAACTGGTCAAAAGTTTGGGGTCAGTGTGATTAAATATGTTAAAATAAGCTTCTTCTGCTCACCAAGGCTGCAATTATTTCATCATAAATACAAATTGTGAAAGGTTGCACTATAAAATAACTGTTCGAAAGTACTTTATCATTTAATTTATTCATTTATTCCAGTGATTTTAAAGATGAGATTTCAGCTTCATTACTCCAGTCACATGATCCTTCAGAAATCACTAATATTAATTATTATTATATTTATCAATGGTAATAGTAATCAAATCAATAATGTCTATAGTAATGGTTTTATTTGAAACTACAAACAATAACAAAGCAGTTATTTAAAATTTTGATAAATATTTAACAATTAAACATTTTTTACATTTAATAAATGTAGTCTTGATGAACTGAATAATTTTCCTTAAAAACATTTTTAAAATTACTGTAAATATATATATACAGAGTTATTAGCCCCCTTTTGTTGTTGTTTTTTTCTTTTTTAAATATTTCCTAAATTATGTTTAACAGAGCAAAGAAATGTTGATAGTTTGTCTGATAATGTTTTTTTCCTCTGAACAAAGTCTTATTTGTTTTATTTTGGCTAGAATAAAAACAGTTTTTTTATTAACCATTTTAAGGTCAAATTTAATAGCCTCTTAAGCTAATTGTTTTTCAGACTGTCTACAGAACAAGCCATCGTTATACAATAACTTGCCTAATTACCCTAACCTGCCTAGTTAACCTAATTACCATAGTTAAGCCTTTAAATGTCACTTTAAGCTGTATAGAAGTGTCTTGAAGAATATCTAGTCTAATATGATTTACTGTCATCATGGCAAAGATAAAATTAATCAGTTATTAGAGATGAGTTATTAAAACTGTTGTGCTTAGAAATGTGCTGAAAAAATCTGTTCTCTGTTAAATAGAAATTGGGGAAAAAATAAACAGGAGTGCTAATAATTTAGGGGGACTAATAATTCTGAAACCAACTGTGTGTGTGTGTGTGTGTGTGTGTGTATATACACACCCACACACACACGCACAGTCAAATAGCTATTAACTTCTTTTTTTTTTTGGTGGGGCCAGTGAAAATTTTGGCAGGGCAAGTAAAAATCAGAACCACTGGCCCGATCGGGCCAGTAGAAAAAATCCTTAGCGTTGAACCCTAATATACACACACACACACACACACATATATATATATATATATATATATACACATATACACATACACATATATATATACATACACATATACACACACACACACACACACACACACATATATATATATATATATATATATATATACACACACACACATATATATATATATATATATATATATATATATATATATATATATATACACATATACATATACACATATATATACAGACACACACATATATATATATATATATATATATACACACACACACAAAACAACAACTTCAGATTGTTTTTTTTTTATTTGATCAACATAAAACATTAAACTTGAGCTTGAGGACAACACGCTCTCATAGCAAGTCGAATCTTTTTGATTTAGTGGCTAATTCATATAAATACGATCTCATTCGTACAATTTAGTTCGATTTGCTCATCCAGCAATGACGTTTGGGTGCCAAGGCTCCTTTTTTATATATATCATACATTTTCGTATGACTAAACTTGTACGAGTTAGCCACTAAACTGACTAAACGTAAAATAGTTTCGTTTCCTTAAGAACACCTCACTGTGGTATGGCAGGGCATAGATGTGGTCTTTCTCTTTGAGAACGATGTCACAATGAAGCCGACTTGGGCATCTGGATGAAATGAACAGTTTGCAACAGCTTGCGCCATCCAATGGACACAATTAGAACAGCAGTTTATTGTATTGAAAAATTGCATCTCATTTTTATACTTTACAGAATCATTTCGCAGACCGGATTAAACCCATTTGCGGGCCTAATCCGGCCCGCGGGCTGTATGTTCAGAGGAGAATGGCCAGACTGGTTCCAGCTGATAGAAAGGCAACAGTAACTCAAATAAGCACTCGTTACAACCGAGGTCTGCAGAAGAGCATCTCTGAACACACGACACGTCCAACCTTGAGGCAGATGGGCTACAGCAGCAGAAGATCACACCGGGTGCCACTACTGTCAGCTAAGAACAGGAAACTGAGGCTACAATTCACACAGACTCACCAAAACTGGACAATAGAAGATTGGAGAAACGTTGCCTGCTCTGATGAGTCTCCATTTCTGCTGCCACATTCAGATGGTCGGGTCAGAATTTGGCGTCAACAACATGAAAGCATGAATCCATCCTGCCTTGTATCAGCGGTTCAGGCTGGTGGTGGTGTAATGGTGTGGGGGAGATTTTCTTGGCACACTTTGGGCTTATTAGTACCAACTGAGCATCGTGTTAACACCACAGCCTACCTGAGTATTGTTGCTGGCCATGTCCATCCCTTAATGACCAGTGTACACATCTTCTGATGGCTACTTCCAGCAGGATAACACACATGTTATAAAGCGTGAATCATCTCAGACTGATTTCTTGAACATGACAATGAGTTCACTGTACTCAAATGGCCTCCACAGCCACCAGAGCTCAATCCAATTGAGCACCTTTGGGATGTGGTGAATCGGGAAATTGGCATGATGGATGTGCAGCCGACAAATCTGCAGCAACTGTGTGATGCTATCATGGAGCAAAATCTCTAAGGAATATTTCCAGGACCTTGATGAAACTCTGCCACAAAGAATTAAGGCAGTTCTGAGGGCAGAAGAGGTCCAACCTGGAACTAGAAATGTGTACCTAATAAAGTGTTTGTGATATGTAGCATTTGACTGGTCAGAAGATCTGATGAGTATCTGAAGTATGAGGTGATGTCGAAAATATCTTTGATCCATTCAGGTGTAAGTGGCAAACTGGATGTTTACATCTTCTTTTTATTTATTTTATTTTTTATTGTGTTTTTGACAAAAGGTACAGTACATTAAAGGTATTCAATTACAAAGGTATTTTCGTTTTTTTTGTTTTTTTTTAACCATACATGAATTTGAAAAAGAGACAAATTAACATAATACATTTTTTTATGAAAAGGAAATGCATTAAATAAAAAAATATATTAATAATAATAAAAATGAAAATAAAATAAAAATAAATTTACAAAAAAAATAAATTAATTAATAAATTAAAAATTAAATAAATAAATAAAAATTAATAAATAAAAAAATGGTGGGTGGGGTTTGGAATTTATGGTTGGAGGAGTACATTAGTCTCAATATAAATTATTAAAGGGTCCCATGTTTTGAAAAATGTTTTGGTTGATCCTCTAAGAAAATATTTAATTTTTTCCGTTTGGATGTTTACATCTTCTAAATGTCTGTTTTGGAGCACACTAGCTTTTAGATATCCTTAAGATTAGCATACGGATACTAACATCTAAACTTTCCGATATAAGCAATACTTTTAAAGTAAATTAAAGTCTGGCTATGTTGATATCTGATGTGTTTCTATGATGAGTGACTCTAAACTACAAGCATTTCAGGCACTTTCTGTGTTCGTACCTCTGCTGAGTGTTTCCTTCAGGCCTCCGGCTCTCTGTTTTTCCACCCGCTGCTCTCTCCACATCACTCCATCATCTCTGTCCTCACGAAAACACCCACCGTTTGCCTTTTTTCTGCTTTACACGTCAGTCTTAAGTCCTCATGCGAGCATCTGTTGACAACATCAGCCTGAAACATCCTCTGATGACAACCTGAGAGAGAAGAGAGGAGAGATAAAACTAATGAAAACAATGAGAGGTGAGGTGCAGTAAAGCGGCCTTTTCATGCTTGTTTTCTCTATTAATGCAGCAAACATCACACAGCTGGGTATATTTATCTTGCCCTGCACAAAGCACACAGCGGACAGGGCCGTGCGTGTGAAAGAGACTTTAAAGCATCCATAATATTTTTATTAAAACATAAGTCAATAAACAGCAGACTGCAGCTTCTCTCTGGAATGGAGCAGATTTTTATGAATGACTGCATTCATCGGTGGCCACGCCCATATGCGGATAGAACGCCGCCTCTAGTCCTAAACCACGCCCAACTTTGAGCTCTCTCGCTCTGATAGGCGGAGTAGGCGTGGCCGCGCATACATTAAGAGTACAGCGGTTTAAAAGCGGAGTACAGCACGAGAGCGAGCGCCAGAAACTCAAGCACAGCTGATATCACACACGCGCATACGTGCTGGAGTAAACACGCTATCTGGATTACTCAAGGGTGTTTTTGTTTCAAATATCAATCTTTTTCGTGGACACTAAGTGGTTTACATGAAGATGAAGGATTTTATGTGTCTGCTGGTTTTAGTTGGGATCTTCTGCACGTCGGTAAGTGAAGAGACAGTCATGTAAACAATCTGCGTGTATATGAACAGCTCACTTCATTATTAAACAACGCAAACAGGAACAGATCTGTCATGTAGGCCTTCATACACTTATAGAAATAGATGAATGTGACACGTTCTGTATTCTAGCTGAACTAAATATATAAAACACTTAAAATGTCATACAAAGAAGAAATATGCATATAGAGATTTTAAAAAATGACTGGTCGTCTTAATTAATAATTTAGTTTTTGAATAAATGCAATAATATACACGTTACAATACAGTAAATGCATGTAATTTCATATTATTTATGTGTGTGTGTGATCTACTTTACAACTAGATATTACTTTAATATGAAAATAGACGTGCATATTACTTAAATATAAATACAAGTGTTGTTTAAAACACTGGTTTTAGGACAGCTCTGATGAAAGATTACGATTCACTTCAAATGTTGACAACTGTGTACTTGTATTCCTAATGTCGTGGGGACCACGTCTTCACAAATATAGCATTACTGGTATATTTTGATTTTCTGGGGACATTTTTGAAGTGCTTTATAAATGTAGAAATGAAATGCAGATTGTTTTCTGTGAGAGGGTTGGCTTTTAGGGGGACAGAATATGCAGTCTGTATACACTGTAAAAAAACGTCCAGATTTTCACAACATGTTACTGTAATTTTGTACAGTAAAATACATTTGTATCACTTTACTGGATTTAACAGTAAAAATTCACAGTAATGTGTTGTATTCGTAATTTTATTGCGAAATTAAGCCAGGTAGCATGATTACAGCTAATTACTGTAAAAAGGGCTACATCTTTTGCATGTTAGTTATAGTAATTCAAACTCTTTATTTCATTCAACATATACATTAATAAAAAATGAACTTTTATGCTTGGATTGGCACTTTTTTGATATTTAGAAAAAAACTATTTGGTTACATCCTTAAAAATAACTTGAAAGAAAATCATCCTGTTTTGAAACGACATGAAAGCCATAGGCAAAAACGTAACTAACTAGAAACAAAAGTAATTGATTCATAAAACCAAACATTGTTAAACACCCAAAATGATTTCAAAGTCAGGGTAAATGTCAGAATAAATAGCTGAGGAAAGCCTGCTTCACAGTACAATATAATTAATTGTACAAGGTAATACTGTGAAATCATAGTAAAGGACTTTACTATCTACTGTGTCGTTAAACGCTATAATTTCACAGTAATTTAATGTAAGAAAATCAAAGTAAATTACTGTGAACTACAACACAATAATTTACTGTGAATTTACATACCGTATTTTACTGTGAAAGTAATGTAATTATTACTCTTAGTATCATTACTGTGAATTTAAAGTCAAACTTTTTACAGTGTATCATTACAGCTATGGAGAGAGACCATGAAGATAGAAATGTGTGTAAAAACAATCTGTTAATGAACAGTTTTCGTAATTTTTTTTTTGTGTATTTTCGGTTTATTTATAGTTGTGAATTGCATTGTGGGATGTTGATCTCTGCTCTGTCCACTTTTAAAGTTGAAAATTCAACTGTACAGTTCAACAAAGTGACTTTTAGTGACATTTTATTCATTTGAAATAATAATATAATGAATAAGAAATAATATATAGAGAAAGAAGTCTGTAAAATAACAGAAAATGTGCTGGCAGTTTATTACAAGGTGTTTGTAGCGTAATATACAACATCAACACACACTGAAAAAAAAATATTCAAAGATGATTCCTTAAATTAACTTAATTTAAGTTAAGTGTTTGTAAACAATTTGTTTATGTTGAATTTAAACAAACAAATAAAGTTGAACATAACTAAATTTTACTTGTTTGTTTAAATTCAACACAAATAAATTGTTTGCAACAATTTTGCAGACATTTTTTTTTCCAGTGCAGACAATATTACACTGCAAACTATTACATGTGCAGAGAAGTCATTTCCCGCCTGAACTTTAAGGTTAAAAGCTGTTAGAAGAAAGATCAAGCTCCCATAATAGAATTGAGAAGCAGAAATACATTAGGAAAAATAAAAACATCAATCACAAAATATGGGAAATTGCTAATTTATAGATATTTGTACAGTGTACATATTTCAATTTCTCCATTATGAACTGTTTGAGTATAACAATTTGCCAAAAATCGCAACTTGGCATGAATTACAACTACAAACACTCTTGCTTTTATTCTTCGTTACTTTATTTTTTTTTAATTTACATAAAGAAATATTTTTCACAAATAAAGCAAAAACAAAGCAAAGCTATTAGGATTAAACAGCACTTATAATTAATTAACAATTAATTAATAATATGGGATGGATTTGTGTACTTATTTCCTCGCAAACGTAAATCGAGCAGAATTAATGTTTTTCTCTTGTTTTTGGTTAGTTAAGATAGCTTAAAATTGTCAATTCATTTAAAGGTGACCCATCAGTCCTCCTTTTACAAGATATAAAATAAGTCTGATGTCCCTAGAGTGCAAGTGTGTAGTTTCAGCCCAAAATAGCACACAGTGTTTTACAACTCTCTGAAACTGACCCTTTTAGGCTTTGATCCTAATTGTAGTGTTTTGGTGACTGTCGCTTTAAATGCAAATGAGATCGCGCTCTTTTCAGAAGAAGGCGGAGCTACACATGCCTGGGTGTCAGCAGTGGCAGATTCAAAAACTAGACTAATGTCCTTTGCTAATAAGGGAGACATGCTGCCCCGCGGCTTTGCTTCTATGATTGACATTCTCTCTTTGTACGCATCATCAAAGTGTTTCTGCAGACTGTTTATATCAAGTCTGATTATAAACAATACAATGAATACACTTTTAGCATCAGAAGCTGCTGACATTTACAGACTGCTAAAAGGGATTTTTACATTATATGTCTCCTTTAAATCATCGTTATTTTGGGGGGAATAGTATAATTGAGATTTATAAATAGTTAACTTCTTTAGTTTATTGTTTTAGGCGAGGCAGTGGCGCAGTAGGTAGTGCTGTTGCCTCACAGCAAGAAGGTCCCTGGGTCGCTGGTTCGTGTCTTGGCTCAGTTGGCGTTTCTGTGTGGAGTTTGTATGTTCTCCATGCCTTCGCGTGGGTTTCCTTCGGGTGCTCCGGTTTCCCCCACAGTCCAAAGACATGCGCTACAGGTGAATTGAGTAGGCTAAATTGTCTGTAGCGTATGAGTGTGTGTGGATGTTTCCCAGAGATGGGTTGAGGCTGGAAGGGCATCCGCAGCGTAAAAACTTGCTGGATAAGTTGGCAGTTCATTCCGCTGTGGCAACCCCGAGTTAATAAAGGGACTAAGCCGACAAGAAAATGAATGAATGAATAAATTAATTTATTGTTTTGGCCTTGCTCCAACCTAAAGGTAATTTTAGGCTCCCTTTACCTTATGTTTATTTGATCTGCTGTAATAAAATCAGTTTTATTTTTTGCATTAAACCAGCAGTGGTTATTGAGTGAACCGTCGGTGGTGGATTTGATTCAAGTATTTTTTTTTTCTTGGTTTGTATTTTGTTATTTTACTCATTTGTTGTTGATTCTGCCCATCCTCCTAGTCCAGGGGAGGACGTAACAGAATTTAGGGGCTCATCCATCAAAGTTTTTCTCACACTATTGCAAAGTTTATGATGCTGCTTGTTTATTTGTGTTTTCGAATATCGATATGAGTAGATTAGATTCAACTTTATTGTCATTACACATGTACAAGACAACGAAATGCAGTTTAGGTCTAACCAGTAGAGCAATAGCAGCAAGTGCAGGATGCAGGTATAAAGCCTGGTTCACACTACAGGATTTTAAACATCAGCAGATCGCTGTGCCGTTCACACTACATGACTTGACTTTGTGTCTTTTAATCTCTGTGGTGTTCACACTACGCAACACTCTGTGAACGATCCACAAGAGGGGGGTCACACACTACATGATCTGACAACATCTCATTCCCCAACAGCTTATTCAAGCTACCAAACCACAGCCAATGAAAATTTGAGGGAGGAGTCGTCAGAAAAAGCGGAACACTATTGGCTGCTTGTGTGCTGATGACATCACTGACAGCGTTTCAAGCTTTGGAGAAAGCATTTAAAAACATCGTCAATCAGCTGATTCATCAGTGGATTAATCACTCATCTGATAGATACACAGAGAGTTTTTAATTTTTGTAATTTTATAACTCTTTGAAATAAAACTAACATATTTATAACACCCTGCCGTTTTCTAACTATCAGTGTATTTCTTTCTGACACTGTTATTTTTTTATTACAAAACAGTAAAGAACTGAGCATTTCTGCCTTAAATTACCATATTGGTCAAAATGACTGCATGCATGTCTGATACTTTTCACTGTGACTTTAAATATGTGTGCAGTTTTTTTCCTAGCAACTTCCTGCTAACATAAACAAAACTTTCTGATGGCAAAAACATCAGTTTACTTCAGATATTTCAAAACAGCATATTCTGTGCTGTGAAATAGCTCCTGTTTGAAAGTGAAAATGAAAGCCAAGACCTTTAAGTGTTTTAGTATCTTAACTACATATTTATAGGCTTTATTACCAAAAAAAGATGATATTTTTAGGGTAATGGTGTCATTAAATATGATGCCAGACATTCAAAGCTTAATTTTAATATCTCAATAACAGCTTTGAATGTAAATATGTTGTGACAATATGGCGTTTTATATGAGAACGGTCAGAATGAGCAGTATGGTAATTCTAATAGTTACAGAATTCTAGTTTCACTGTTAATATAGCCTACTCTCATGTCTGTGTTAACGCAGAATGAAGCGAGTGCACCGATGCCCATTCTGACCAATCACAGATGTTTCTGCTGAGCTCCTGAACACACAGGCATTCAGCTCATGCTGATCTGCTCTCTCATTGGCTGCAGCCCGTCACTACATCTGACCACACGTGGGGTTGAGTCGGCCGACTGCTCTGGAATATTCAGCATGCTAAATGTTGGATTTCCGTCTGCGAGGTGTCGGCGACGCTTCAGCGAGCCTCGTTGATGCGTT